ATTTAATTGACTGTTAATTTCCTTCAATTTTTTTCATCACGATCTTCCTGGTAGCAATTCACTAGATACCCCAGCGTATCGGCAATGCATCGTGCTCGCACCTACTTGAACTTTGACTTTGCAAAGCCAATAATGGAAAACTGGCAGTACGAGGTACCACGATGCTGCCTTGTATGGCGGTCTCCTGCAAATCAGTTGATCACTAATTATTTGTATCCTTTTCTGTTTCGATTAAAATGAACGCCCAGAAGCTTTCTCAAGTCAACAATATTACAGGCGCTAAATTCGGAAATAGAAATGTTACAGTTCTAGGTGAATCTCAAACACGAGATCGATTTGACATCGAGACTGCAACAAAAATTCAAGAGCGGCCGATGGGCAACAATCGGCACCCGATATTCTGCCCACGGAAGCCAGGCAGGAAGTTCCTCGTTTAAAAATTCCCTTTGGGCACCCATGGTCAAATCGATTTATCATGTTTCTAGTCAGTTATTGCTGGCGCGCAAGAACAAAATCCAGTCAGCAAAGCGTTTTCGAAAGCGCTGTTCCATTGGGTCCCTGTTAGGAGATTCAAATGAAGCGTTCGATCCTTCATTGAATGAAGGAAAGATTTCGCAAACGTCTGCATTCTTTGCTTACGGGATTGTTGCCAATTGTTAGCAACTGTTGTCTGATGTGTTCACTGCCGACAACACTAGCAACCACGGGTACGCATCCAAATCCACAAAAAAAAACGAAAAACCCTGATTGGCAAGAATGTGCAGGGATTTTCCTAACTCCATCGGCTGATGGAGTCATAAATGATTGGAAGAGGGAGAAGAGAAGGCTCTTGAGGCAGTTCTCACAAAACTCCGGAGGATTTGCCGTTATAGGGTTTTTCTGGAATTTCGAAATTCCAGCAAAAATCTTCCAGGTATCAGATTATTGTCGCCTCAAGCAGCCGATCGACTGGAATAGGCGAAACCAATGATTGATTTCTCTTCGTTCGTGACAATCGTATTTCGATTCGGAACATATTTCGTCGGACTCATTCTAGTTCCCGAAAAAGGTTCATTTGAATCCCAAATTTTTCCTTATTTTAAAAGGATAAATTTGGTCATTTGCATGAAGCTTAACCTAATTTCATCTTTCACCTTGAGAGGTGCTGGAGTCAGACAAGAACGAATTGAATCTTGCGTTGCAAAAAGGAACAAACAAAACTCTATCCCATGACATGCAACGCAAATCGTTAGGACCTCTTTGAGAAAAGGGAGTTTCACAAAATCTCCAAATATGGAAGATTCGACTGGCGTTTTCACATTCTGGGATTCTTGGGAAAGGGCATGAAACTGAATGGAAAAGGGGGACTTTTTGCACTTCCCTTTTTTATCATCTTCCTTTTCTCCTGGGATAGGTCATGGGTTCGTTAGTGTTTCAAAATTCATCATATTTAGGAAATTATGATGAGACGCTTCTCGAAAAAATACCTCCATTAACTTGTGACATTTGCATTTTTGAATTTTATTCTTTCATGTGAACCGTAAGACACATTTTTATCTGTTAATTAATGTGTGGTGAGTATCATACTAAGGGTGACATCCCAAGTAACACAAGATATTCCAGCAACGTTTAGGAAATGTTGACGAACAATGTTGCATCTATGTGTAAATGTCCAAAACGTCAACGTTGCAAAAGTCTAGCGAGGGAACATTG